AGATAACCTCATAAAAAGAAAATCAAAATAAATCAAGAATCTTAATTTGTAATCAACTCCATGTTAAAGGATAAAAATAAAATAAAAAAGCTAATTTAAAAAAGATTTAAAAAACTCAAGTCTTCAGACCAGGATAACTTCTTAGAAAGCAAACCAAAATAAACTATGAAGCCTAGTTTTTCATTAACTCAATGTTGAAAGATAAAATTAAAAAAATAACGAACTCTTTATGAAAAAAGATAGTAAGACTCACCGTAGTTAGGTTCATCTCCTTTTTAGCGTCATTATATTATTTTTGTTGTTGTTTATTCCTGTAAAGAAATATTCTTTGAATTGCATTTTTTATTTGGTTCATAATTTGTGCTTTTTATGATACTCTAGCAAAAATTTTCCTTATAATTTGAACACAAATTGGTTCTAATCATAGTCTGTTCTCACTTTACTAAACTTTGTTTATTTTTCTAGACATTAAGAGCTTATGACTTAAGCTTTTATGAAAAACTAATTTGTTTTTTGATATTCATGATTATTTATGTAGCTCTTTTATCTTCACAATTATTCATGTGTCTTTTTATAAGGATTTTTTTGTTATCAATGCCTTGTTGTAGGTTTATTTACTTTCCAGCATCTCCTACGGTTAAGAACTTCAATCTTACATATTTATTTTTGTTGTATGGGTTATTAAATCATAGAAATTAGCTATGCTCCACCTTTTATTACTACTTGCTATGCTCCAATTTGTTTTTTTTGATATACTTCATAGTTTTTAAATAACTTATAGAAACAATAATGTAAGACTTTTTATGATTATGACATACATTTTTCAAAATATTTGTGTATAAGTTATGTATGCAAACCCTACTTTTATATACAAAATTAGCTAAATTTTACTTTAAATTATTATTTGTATGCACTCATCATTCTTGTAACTTTAACATGCTCTTAGCCATGTTACAACTTAAAAAAATACAAGAAAAAACAGTATACTATGAGCTCCGTTGCAGGTCAGAATATCATTAAAAAAAAAAAAAACATTAATAAGATCCCGTGGCATTTATTGATGTTTAATTGTTATTTTTAATTTTAAACAGTGAAAACATTTCTTTAATAATTTTACGAAAAGAGTAGTTTTTCTAGGGTGGGAAGTGGCACACTTATCGGTAGATTATTGGTGCCAAATAATTTGCACCGCAGAAGAAACAAATATCGCGATAGCTTGTTTTGAATTTGATGACACGGCGAGAATTCGCGGAGCTTTCGTTGGTTGGAATTGTAATAAAATAAAAATCGAAGGGTAGTAGTTTCAAAAGAAGCGCCAAAATTTCCTTCTCCTGGCAAGTGGCAAGGACAAAAAAAGGGGAATTAAAAAGAAGTCAAGAACAAATTTTCTTCTTTATTTGCCTTTTATTTTTTGGCTTAATCTCTATCTTAATGACATTTAGCTTTTTGACTCTTGTTGGATTCAGATCTGCAGTCAAAAAATCCCCTTCCCATCACAGGTATTTTCTTTTTTCTTCTTACAGTTCAATGGTTTCCAGGGAAATACAAAATGATTGAAAAAGAAAGGATGCCATTTTTTTAATCCACAAAAAAGGGACAGGAACAGGAAGAGAATAATAACACCTAAAAGTCTCGAATCTTCCCATCTGGGTGTGTTTTTTTTGTCTTTATTGCATCAATCTTTGGGTTTGATTGATTGCTAGATCATTAGATCCATTTATCTAATAATTTGCTTGCCTTCTTGATTGGTTTTAATGGAACAATGCCTCTTTCTTCTCCTCCTCCTCCTCCTCCTTCGATAGAAGAGAGGGCATCACCTTCGAGGGCACAAGGAGAGTTCAAACTCACGTAGCCTAAGATACAAGCTGAGAAGCTAAGGATAGACGCAAACCCATTTAGATAGTGTATGTTTTCATGATCAAATCATGCTTTTCAAACTTTTGAAATTTATTTTAGATTTAAATTTTAATATTTCTAGATTGTTTTAATGTGTTTATATCAAAAATAAAATTAAAAAAATAAAATAAATAATGTTTTAATATGTTTATAAAAAAAATACTTTCAAAACCAATTGGATACTTTACTCAATGAAGCCTGATGCGAAATTCTTACCATTTTATTTTCAATATTAAAAAAACCTTCACATCTAAACTGTTTGTCACTTTCATCTTGTTTAAGCTCCATTGCCTAAATTCTATTAAATATAAACAATGAAATAAAATGGTTTATTTTGTGGTGGATCCCAGGTGTGTGTGTGTGTGAAAGCATAAAATAGTAATTCGAGTAACGAGTTTCAAAATGTCAGGGGAGTGGTGGCCCTATTGTTGTCTATGAAATTGACATTATAATATTTTGCTCACCAACGTTCCACGTCTAGAGATGTAATTCACTCTTTTATGTCGACTGGAAGTATTGTTCTCTCGGTGGACCATGTTTTGTCATAGTCAAGAGTGGATCGAAGCCCTCTGTGCTTGATGTAGTGGGTTAGAGAAATTAAAATTATCTGATAACATTAATTTATCTATGGCTATTGTCAATTGGTCTGCTGCAATTCCTTTGACTAAGCTTCTCCAGGTTTTAGATTCAACACCCTCTTTTCTTTTAAATTAATATCAAGGAACCTTAGACTCGAGGCAATGAAATTTAATACATTCTACCGCAATTCCATGCACATATACTGAACTGTGAATGATCTTTTCAGAAATTAATGAGGGTTTAATAAGTCGTGTGCATGTTTCATTCTTCAACACATGGATATTGAATTTCATAACGCAAACAGCACTTCTTCTTTTATTTCAATGGATGATGGTGGTGGTTATGCCTTTTATCGTATAGGATCTTCAGCTGATATGCTTCAGATGAAGAGTGCATTTCATTAATTTGTTTAAGTTGGCTGTAAATTCCCGTTATAAATCAAGCGGCGTTCCGAAGGTGATGGAGTTCGTAGGCAGCCATGAAGATCCTGAAAACATCGAACAAATGAAGGAGACTAAAAGAGGTGCAGTATCTCTTATGTACAAACTCAAATTTCCTAAAATCTGCTCTACTGCAGGTTATGATACTCAAGAACTGAGGCCAAAAGAACGCATTTTCAGTATCTATAAGCGTCCAAGTCCAAGAGAGAAATTTTCTGCTAAAACTGAATATCTTCGTTTTACCAGTTATGTCAGCATTTGGCTCTCTATTTAGAGTTTAGACTGAAGGGTATTGTGCAAAAATGTTACAATTTGAATCTCACAGGAATTGCTCAAGTTTGAGTACATTTCTTAACGGGCCTTTCCCTATACTTCTCACCAGTTATCTGTTCTTCATAGAATCTTGAGCTTTGTGGTTTCATTCCCAAAGATGTTTAGTTTCTTGCTTTAAAGAATAGAGTGCAGATATACTAGTTATAGCCAGTTGTTGAAGGTTTAGATATTGAATTCCATATTTTCGTGTTATTTAATTTGCAGACATTGAACATAAAGTGGGAAAGATCCTGAAGCTTATACAGAATAATGGCCCAGCCAAGAAGGGTAAGATCCCGGAAGATTCAAAGAAAAGATCAGAACTTATTGAACTTGTCGAGGATTTTCACAAACAGTACCAGTCTCTCTACGCACAATATGATTATCTCAGAGCAGAGATGGGGAAAAAGGCTCCAGTCAGGAAAGAGAAGGAAAGTTCTTCCTCTTCATCCTTCTCCGATTCAGAGTATTATTCTCCAGACATAGGCAGTAGCCTTATCATAGATATGCATCTTGAAGCATCAGACGGCACCGCTGGAGAACTTGATGCTGCAAGCTTAGAAGTAACTGGGCTGAAGCATAGGTTGACCTCTGCTACTGCTGAAAACGAAGCTTTACGCAACAAATACAGCGCAGAATTACAAGAAGCAGACACCGTCAACAAGCAAAATAGGGAACTTTCAGCTCTTGTGAAGGTACATGAGCTTCATGACAGTCAGGCATCAGCTCAGATAAAGGAGCTAGAGGGACAGTTAGCTACACTGAAAACTGAGATGGATTCCTTGTACACCCTGAAGAAAGATTTCGAGGCACAGGTTGAAAACAAAGCAGCTGAAGCTAAACATCTTCAAGAGAAAAACTCACAGCTACTTTCACGTGTTTCGGAACTTGAACTGATGTCAAAAGAGAAAGGGGATGAGATATCTACAATCCAGAAGCAACTGAAGGATGGTGAGAAGAATTTCACATCTAAAATTGAAGATCTAATGACACAGGTCAACAATCTGCAATTGGAGACGGTTTCTTTACGTTCTCAGAATGCTAAACTGGAAGCGAGTAAGCGGAAGGAAGCATCAGCTCAAGCCAAGGGCTTAAAGAACCGAATAAATAATTTGCAGAAGGAATTGGACTCCTTTCGAGGTGAGAGATCTCAGCTGGAAGCTCAACTGAACATGAAAACCAAAGAAGTTGCTGAAAACCTGCTCTGGACAGAGACTTTGGAAGGTGAAATAGCAAGGAAGGCTATAACTGAACAGGAACTGCTAAAAGAGAAAGAAACCTTTCTTGTGCAAAGAGAGGACCTGGAACTAGAAGCGAACTCTATCCGAAACCAAAAGAACAGGCTGGAAGAGCTGATGAGAAGTAAGAACCAAGAGACAGATCAATTGCGAGAAGAAGGGGAGAGGATGCACGCTAGAATACTCGAACTGGAAGGGATCTTATTAGATAGAGGGGATTCCTTTTCTCCTTGTCAGAAAGAATATGAGAGCAGAGAGAATGAAGCTTCTACTCAGATTATGGCCTTGAAATCGCAGGTTTTTAGCTTACAACAGGATTTGGATTCCTTGCTGAGTGAGAAGAGTTTATTGGAGACACAAAACGAGAGACTAAGGCGAGACATTATGCAAATCCAGTTTCAGATGGAAAATGAAGTTCACAATTTAACGAGCAAGATTGAAGAGCAGCAGAAAATCCTGAAGGACAAGGAGGATACTGTAAAAAAGCTAACTGAGGAGACTAAAGTAGTCAGACACCATTTGCTGGATTCTCCAAAATATCGGTCATTGGATTCTCCAAAATATCGGTCGCTGGATTCCCCAAGGACAAATCCTCAATCTTTAGAAAGGAAGATAGAAGAACTAGCAGGGAGCTTCCACATGAAAATGGAAAATCATATTCGAATCTTGTATCAGAGGATTTTAGTTGCCGAACATATTCATGCTGAAACCAAAGATGGCTACAAGAAGATGAAAGACAGACTGGATCAAGAAAACATAGAGCTTAATGAAAAAACAACAGCATTTGAAGCTGAATTGAGGAAGATAAGGGAGATGTTATTGGATGCAGGAGAGGTATTTTCAGGAGCGGAAGCAATGCTCAAGAAATTCTACGAGGACACTGAAATTCTCTCGGACCCCATTTGCCGAATCTCAAACGAGCTTCAGTTTGCGAAGAGATGGATCACAGAAACAAAGGATGAGATAAAAAAGCTGAAACATAACGTGGATAGTTTGACATTGCAACTGAATGGCAAGGAAGAGAAGGAGCTCTTGTTAAGAGAAAAGGTGTGGAAACTGGAAGCAAAGCTGAGCAAGGAAGGAGGAGAAAAGCTGAATTCTGTTAGTCAGCTTGAGAGAAAGGTCGTATATTTGGAGCAGCAGGTAAAACACAAGGAAGACATTTTTCTGGGTGTTGGTGAGGAGAAGAGGGAGGCCATAAGGCAGCTTTGTATCTTGGTCGATTACCATCGCAGCCGCTATGATCATCTCAGAGAAGCACTATCAAAGAGGACTGTTCATATCAAGAGAGTGGCTTAGAAGAGATTTGCGACATTTTCTTCTTTTGTTTATTAATGCTGTTATTCTGGTTTTAACAACATTAATCCTTTCATTAAACAAACAGCTTGTAAATTAGTTCCAATATTTGTTCAATAATCAAATATGGCATCGTCTTTCTTCGTAGCCTGTTTTGCTTTTTGTTAATTTGTTCAACCTTTTCTTCTCATGGAGATTGCACATGGTGTCAAACAACCATCTCTGCTCAAAAGACTTTCTTAAGAAAGAGCTGCACATGTCCACTGACATCTTATACTTAGTTTTGTTAGATAAAATAGTTTAATTTCAATAGATAGAATTAGGATGATAAAATTTGCTCATGATCGCGCTATTCTCTAACATATGAAAGATTGGTTTTTAGCTGAAACACAGATAAATTATCAAATAAGAAAAATAAGAATAAAAATTTTAACAAACATTAAGTGAGGAGAGGAATTCACTGTTCCCTCCTCGCATGATTTTTTTTAAATTATTAATTTTATTTTTTATATTAAATTTAAACTTAATAATTTATTTTATTTTAATTTTTATTAAGTTATCTTAATAACGTGATCTAAATTATAAATTTAATGAGTTAACACGGTTAATTTGAGTTTTTTTTTGTTTTTCTTAATCAATTTATTTTTTCAATTTTATTCTTTATTGTTTAATCAAATAAAAATTAGGTTTCATAATTTATTTTAGTATATTTTATATGATATTATTCTGATTTCATGAATAGGATCACAAATTTAATTGGTTAACCTGATTAACTTAGATAATTAGATTAATTAATAATTATATTTAGAAAAAGAGTACAACATGAAAAACAAATTGAAAAAAGCTATAAATCCTAATCATTAACCAACCTAAATGTTGAAGGAGAAAATTAAAAAAATCAATTTTAAAAATCAAAATAAAAACTCGCGTCAACTTAGACAAACCATCCAAATTTGCATCCTGAGTTACGAGATCATGATAACTAAACAAAAAATAAATAAAAAATATTATAAAATTTAATTTCCAACCAACTAAATATTTAAGATAAAATTAAAATAATATATATTTTTGAAAAGATCCCAGACAAACTAACATGAGCCAACCTATGCTAATCTTCCACACTCGCGGCTTGAATCATGAAACTATAATTACCTTATAAAAATAAATAAACAAATCATGAATCTCGATCACAGAATAATTTATCGTTGAAAGAAGAAATTAAAAAAATTAAAAAAAATAAGGATCAAATCTTAACTAAGAAACAATTAGCAATTTACTTTGATATTTTTGACAAAGAAAAGGGCTAAAATCAATAAGAAAAAAGAGAAAGGAAAAGAAAAAAAAGTATTTGATAGAAATGACATTATTACTCCTCAACACACACATACCCTGTGTAAACATGAAGGCTTTGTTAAGATGTAACTAACACCATCAAGGAAAATCAGTGGCCATTACACACAATGTCATAACATGATGACATACCTCACATGTTGGTGTATATTTTACAGTTGGTGTATATTTTACAAATACTAACAACTTTCATTTTGTTCGTATAACTTAGTCCTTAACCTTGTAAAAATTAAGGTTGAATATTTGTTTTAATTTTAAATTTGATCTTTGAAGACTTAATTGTTTTAAAATAATGAAACCAAGTTTTATTTTGTTAGATTAATCATTAACAAAGTCTTGAAATTTTTTCTTGACATTATAAGATCCTCATATCTAATAAACCAAATAAATCATCAAATCCAATATATAGAAAAAAAATACTCAATATGGAATGATCATTTTTTTATATAAAAAAAAGTGTAGCAATAAAAAAATTCAAATGAAAAAAAAGAGGTGAACATTTCCCCCTTCTCATTCAATTCAATCCTTGATCTAGCAATAAAAAGAGGCTAAACATTTACCTTATATTCAAATTTAATTCCTAAAATTTTAATTATTTTAAATCAATAAATTTTCATTTTATTTATGAAACAAAACAAAGTAACTAATTCTTAATTGATATATTATAACACTAATTTCCATGATAAGTGTCATACCATATATCAATTCTTTAATCCTGAATTTCTTTTCTAACTTTATAGTCATTGCCGCATATGAGATTAATTTTTTTAACATACAAAAGAAATATCTAAACATTACTAATATTTTTCTAGTAAGAAAGAAATTATAAATCATGTGAAGGCTGATCAAATATGATTTGATCGATTTGATAAGTCCAAAAGCAATTTGTATAATCAGTAAAAATAGAGTTCAATTAAAAAAAATTCAAGACAATATCTTTTTTATAAAATAATATTGAAATAACAACATATTGAATTAATTTAGGCCAATCTGGGTTAATTTATCAAATTCATAGCCTATATCACGAGACTAAAATAATCTCATATAAAGCAAATCAAAACAAATTAT